AGTTCTCAACATAATAGGACCTAGTCCTGACCATGGAATCAATTACTCTTTATTTGTTTATGATATATGTATAACTATGGTTCTACTGAGAATTTAAGATGACTTAAAAATGTCTCTTATCTACAAGCCTTTTAAGAAATATGAGCTCTATTGTCAGCCCTTATAAAGCCAACTGCTTAAAACATTGGTCTATCATACCACTAAAATTATATTAAGACCGTGATTGCTAATTTATTAAGTATTAAAAATATTTTCTTAAAAATAGTATTAAATAAATTTGCGAGGCAAGCACACTTTCTGCCCCATCCGTATTTCCATTTCTGTAGTAAAACTCCGCCTTAAAACTCCACCCCTGAAATCCCATCCTGCCTCAGTGAGCAGACATTCCTTTTGTGATTGGCTAAATCAGAGGGCGGGGCCTTTGTTGTTCCAAGACGGCGGCCCCCAGGGGAGCGGCAGGCCATGCGGCCAACATGGCGGCTGCCAAGTCAGGCAGCTCAAAGTGGAGGCTGTCTACACTGTTCTTTGACAGAGCAAACCAAAACCCCTAAAAGGTAGATGACCAACATTATATTGTAGACAAACAGAAATCTCATTAGCTGTTTATACCCTTTATAATTATCTTAAAGAATATCAATCAAATTTAAACTGGTTTTTGTATTAAAAAATTTTCAGTTGAGATCATAAAATTAATCCTCTTTTTTAAATCAGACCAATGAGTAACATATTTTGAATTCCCAATCATTTAAGAGAAAACACATTTTATTTTTTCAAAAACAAGTTATACATTAGATATTTAATTAATTTCTCCCAATTCAATTTGCACTTTAAACTTTCAGGGCTTACAAGTCAAATATTAGCAGTTCTTTGATTAACTACACTTTTATATTTTTAAGAATAAATTTTAAAATCTAATAATTAACTTTAAACCATGTTTTTTCTGCACGGGGAAACTGAGAAGCAAGCTTGTATTAAAAAATGACTACTGGCGGAAAGCTGATTTCAAAGGAGCCACCTTTTGGCCGCTTGATCTTTTCTGGGAAGGTCGTCTAGCAAAAGGTGTAGCCATTGAAATGCAAATTAACATTCCTAATGATGGCTGCTGGCGGGAATTGGATTACCTACATGCTACGGGAAGGGCATGTCTACCCTTCCCTCCATAAAAAAAGGGTGTAACTTTAAACTTTTTTAATGGCAAAAAAGAGACCTTAAACTTTCAGAGCTTTAAATCTTAGGTAGAAAATTAAATACTTAGCATTTTTTCAAATCAATACTTTTACATTTAAGGATACATTTCAAATAAAATATAAGGCATTTTCAATTAATAGATTAACTTCTATCATCTAGACTTCATACTAGGCATACTCAGATCAACATTTCAATATTATAAATCTCAATACTTTTAGATGATTTGACTTAAAAGTTTTAAGGTTCCAGCCAATAAGCCTGGCATAACTGCTAAATTTCAAAATGGTCACAATTTTCCTGCTGGGGAAGTCAAGAAGCAACACCATAGCTATTCACAAGTAAACTTGACTATCAACTTCCTGGTGGTACTTGCCTCAGGGCGGGAAATTTCAAAAGAGCTATTTTAAATTGCCTTGGAAAACCAGCCTGTATTTCTTTCTTAGGTTCATCTCCGCCATTTTTAAGGCCAAAACAGTCTCAGGTTTTTATTCTGTACACAGAAAAAAGTCAAGATCAGCTCAAAACTATGCGCACTCATTTTTAAACTGGCCTTCTCCCTTTACATGTGCACAGAAATCCCGGATGCATTTATGAATTTGTAAAAGCTTTAAGTCATTAGCTGGAAAAAAAAAAAAAGGATAAAAATGGTGAAGATGAGGCGAAGAAGTGGCTTTCTTGAGGAATGATGTCCATATTGGATGGCCTGTGAGCTTCCCCCACCTCCTTGTTTCTTAGGGGGAAGATTCAGAAATGGTCTGGCATTTACTCTTTTTATTTTATTTATTTTTCAATTTTTATTTATTTTTATTTTTTTAAGGAAAGAAAAGATTTTTTAAGATAAAGAATCATTGGCAGTTGCTGAGAAATTCCTTTAATCCTTTTCTACTTGGTTACAAGTAGTTTACACGTGGAGGCAGAGGAGGTGCAGAGGGTATTCTTAGAGACTTGCACCCTTCCACTCCAGGCTGTAAGGCTGTGGCTGCACCCCACTTAGACATTCTTAAACTTTCCTGTGCTGAATCAAGGCCATCACCAATTAAAATAGGAATTTTCTCTGGACTTTTTGCTGAGTATTGGTCACACAACTGCTTTCTAACCTTTTCCCAGGTTTTCATCAACAAAGCTTAAGAAAGAAATCAAGAATTTTACTACAATTAACAGAGCATAGTTTAAAGCATTTTTTGAGGATTACCCACGTTTTACACCTGGCTATTTCATATCAATTCACAACAATACACTCCCCTTACCTTATTCCTTTAAGTCTGTGTGCACACGCTTCTGGGAGTGACCCCCTCGCTTTCTTCTCTTGCCTCCGTACTCAGTCCCTATTGGGGGGGCGCCAAATGTGGGGGGCTGTTTCTCTCTTTTCCATGTCCCGCATGGAAAAGGAAACAGTCCATTTGCTGAGTGGAGGAGCTGGAGATTAAGAAATTAAAGAAAGACCAAGACGCAGAAATAGATTTTAAGCTGGGTCCAGGTGGGCGCCATCCTCTCTGATGGAGAGGCGGCAAAAAGTGGGCTGAGCCACACAGCAGGTTTATTTTAAAGGCCTAGATTTACATATCTAGTTCCGCCCCTGCCTGATTAACATGTCCAGCCTTATTGGGGAAGCATGTTCCCAGGGCATGGCTCTGCCTATGCTCTGAGTTCAGCTGACAATAATTATAAGAAAATGCCTAGGTGCCTCCCAGGCGGCCCTCTACAGCAGACAGCATCAGGGAATGGTCAAAGAGCTAGTACTTATGCTTCTCCCACTCCACTGGGACCGCATCACCCTGATCTGTTGCTACTAAGTCTAGCAGTCTTTAAACAAGCAAACAACAACAACAAAAAGGTAAAAATTAAATTTGAAAATAAAACTGTCAGGCAGAATAGCTCTACTCCAGCAAAGGTGGGAAGTAGTTCTAGCAGTAAAACACGAGTTGTGAGTTAGTACAAGAACCTAAGCTTCTAGAATTATCTCGTAAGCACACAGATTTATAACCTTCATGTCTATAGCTCACACCTGACATGGGGGAAGGGAGTGCAGGACTTGTGGGGTGGGTCCACTTTAAGACAGTCCACTAATCTACAACTCAAGGTTAGGCCTCACTCAAAATCTTCCTGCCAGTGTGAGGCAGAGAATAAGCTTTCTTCTGGGTCACCGAGCAATCAACCATTAGTCAAATATACTTCCATTCTATTCCAAAGAACTGAAGAACTCTAGACCCAGAATTAAACAATAAGACTTCCCTGATTACATTCTGCACAGACCCCACCTGTGGTGAAGACTGGTACTTCTTCATGCGGACACATCTACACTCATCCTCTGCAAGCTGGCTTTTCTCACCTTCCCTTGGAGGTGAACAGTCAAGGTGAACAGCTGCCTTGAATAATCTCTCCCTATAGGATTATCTCTCCCTGTGCCTGTAAGAAGACCCCGCATAGCAGTGCAACAGCCTGTAGGATACCCTCACATCTATGAAGGCTGCCAATATTCTGGCTCTGTTGACTGTTTGGGCACTGGCTGGCATCACAGCTGATCCAGCCCCTGCTGCCACATCGAAAATGCATTTTCTCTAGATTCTCTATTATTCTTCAACCAACTGGCATAAGAATCTACAATTGTTAACTCTCAGCCAATCTAAGACAAATGCTACCTCTTCGCAACCAAAAAAACCTTTAGCCACTGAAAAATGGGTGCACTGAGTCACTGTGCCTTTTGTAACATTTACAAATTTGGAACATTTACAAGTTCCCTAAAAGTTGGAAACTTGTAGGAAACATGAATAGTTTATCAGATAATCCTCAGAAAGTCTTTGGGGCAGTTCCCTAATTATGCTGGGAATTTCTAACCAGGCCAGAAGTTTCTAAATGAAAATACAATTACAACTAGGAAGTGGGAATAGCTGAGACTTGAAGGCTCAAATGGTCCGAAGCCTCTTAGGGCAGACAGCATCAGGGAATGGTCTAAAACAAACAAGAATTTTAAATTTTCATCCAGTTCTTTATTTTTTTTTATTATGGCTCATAAACTATTTAAAATAAGATAAGTGGCTCACACTGTATCTCTATTGGACAGCAATGCCCTCATGGCAATTGGGAGGTAGCACCCATACTAAGAGAAGGACAATTCCCAAGCATCAAAAGGATGGTCACTGTGAGGTGGTACAGAGATTGGCCATCTCTGGATATTAATGCTCTGGCAAGAGCTTGGCATACCTGCTACTTAGTCATTCTGGTCTGCTCCATAGAAGGCTCTCTTATACCCACTTATGCCGGAAGCCAGTCCATCCTTGCTGCTTGACACAGTCGCTGCAGGGAAGAAACATCTGCACAACATATGTTTCAAGGGACCTGGCGTATATGGCGTACTGTTCTTAATATGTTTGCTCCCCTTCTTGGCGCTATGTGTTTTAACCAAGGTCACCTCTCCGAGAAAGGTTGTTTCCCCATGTAGGGATTTTTCCCTGAAGTTAGGGAGGGAATAAAACCCCTTAACTAAGTGCCAGGTGGGTAGTTAATCACTTTAACTACGAACAATCACGCTTAAGCTACATAATCTTTTCTCCCTGGAATGGATATAAGAAACGCCCTAACCTTTGGAATAGAAATTGACAGGATTAAAATCAACTGGTATAAATACAAATGTAATAGGACAATAAAACACAGAACCTGGCTGGAGAACCTGACTAGAGAAACTTGCTATGCTGATCAACTGAATGCTGTCTCCGTGTCAACCTTTGGAATAGAAATTGACAGAATTAAAATCAACTGGAATAGGGACCTGACGGGATTGTGACGGTCCTATCTGCCAACTTGGAAGCGGCGGCTGCCTCCGGACGCTCTCAAGATGGCGACCTCTCTGGGTTCCAACACCTACAACAGGCAGAACTGGGAGGATGCGGACTTCCCCATCCTGTGCCAGACGTGTCTGGGAGAAAACCCGTATATCCGAATGACCAAAGAAAAGTACGGGAAGGAATGCAAAATCTGTGCCAGACCATTCACAGTGTTTCGCTGGTGTCCCGGAGTCCGCATGCGTTTCAAGAAGACTGAAGTGTGCCAAACCTGTAGTAAATTGAAGAATGTCTGTCAGACTTGCCTCTTGGATCTGGAGTATGGCCTGCCCATCCAGGTTCGTGATGCAGGGCTGTCTTTTAAGGATGACATGCCAAAATCAGATGTCAACAAAGAGTACTACACACAGAATATGGAAAGGGAGATTTCTAACTCTGATGGAACACGGCCAGTTGGCATGCTGGGGAAAGCCACATCCACCAGTGACATGCTGCTCAAACTGGCAAGGACCACACCCTACTACAAAAGGAATCGACCCCACATTTGCTCCTTCTGGGTGAAAGGAGAATGTAGGAGAGGAGACGAATGTCCATACAGACATGAGAAGCCTACAGATCCAGATGACCCCCTTGCCGATCAGAACATTAAAGACCGATATTATGGAATCAATGACCCTGTGGCAGATAAGCTTCTAAAGCGGGCTTCAACAATGCCTCGTTTGGACCCGCCAGAGGACAAGACTATCACCACACTATATGTTGGTGGTCTGGGCGGTACCATTACTGAGACAGACCTAAGAAATCATTTCTACCAGTTCGGAGAGATTCGGACGATCACCGTGGTGCAGAGACAGCAATGTGCTTTCATCCAGTTTGCCACAAGGCAGGCTGCTGAAGTGGCTGCGGAGAAGTCCTTTAATAAGCTAATTGTCAATGGCCGTCGACTTAATGTGCAATGGGGAAGGTCCCAAGCAGCCCGAGGAAAAGAAAAAGAGAAAGACGGAACCACAGACTCTGGCATTAAGCTGGAGCCTGTTCCAGGCCTGCCAGGAGCTCTTCCCCCTCCTCCTGCAGCAGAGGAAGAAGCCTCTGCCAACTACTTCAACCTGCCCCCCAGTGGCCCTCCAGCTGTGGTGAACATCGCCCTGCCGCCACCCCCTGGAATTGCCCCACCCCCACCCCCAGGTTTTGGGCCACATATGTTCCACCCAATGGGACCACCTCCTCCTTTCATGAGGGCTCCAGGACCAATCCACTATCCTTCTCAGGACCCTCAGAGAATGGGAGCTCATGCTGGGAAACACAGCAGCCCCTAGCACATTATCACCATTCTGGGGCTCTACAGAAGACAGGGCGCTTAAAAATCCCAGTAAACGAATCTTGGAATAAATATATTTTTCCTTCCTTTGTAGTTTCCATAGTAGCTGAATGTGTTCAGATGTGGGCAGTCAGAAAACAATAGCCATGCTTTGATTGATGGACCTCAAATAAGCTGCCATTGGCACATCTGGTTACTATAACGTTACTAATAAAACTTAATGCCTGTTCCCCTTCTATGGGGAGCAAGCAATGGGGTGAATTGGAATATCCAATGGAGTTTCCATCCCAATCATATGTTCATTTTGTATTTTTTTGGGGGGGGGGGGGGGCATTAACCTGCGGAAAGAATCTTTTGACCGTTTTTATGTCCATTCGGTGTTTTCCTTTTTATCATCTAAAAAAAGATTACTAGTACTAATCATTGTAGTGGCATAAGTGTGATTTAACACTTCTGACGTCACATCCTCTTTATCACCATCATGCTTGCTTAGCTTGTTTTTCCCACTGCGCCTTGGCTGGGGCCTGTTTGGAGTCCCAGGGCTGTCAGGGCCTCAGGCAGCTACTAAGCCATCCCAAGTCCCTGTCCAGACAGCGTTGTGCGTTGTTCGTCTGTGGCTGGGATTCCTTGCTGGGCGGCTGTACCCAGGCTCCCCCTTGAAAGCTGCGTTTGGAGGCCATGCAGCTGCTAAGGCCACATGGCTGCTAAGGAAAGAGCAGGGGCTAACCAATGGGTGGAGGGCAGGTTACCAGACCGGCGGCGGGAGAGAAAGTTTTGTTAGCTGAAATTATATCATCTAGGGTTTGGGAAAGGCCAGGCGCTTTTTCAAAATAACCAATCAACTTCCCAAGCTTCTAGGGCTTTGCTGGGTCCGCCCCTTAACCAATCCAATGTTTCCCCAGGCGAGATTGATGGTGCCAGCTTGGCTCCTATTGGGCATGTCCAAGAGTAGCAGCACCTCCCCCTGAACCATCTTGAAGGCTATTGCTCACGGGTATTGCAAGTGCTGTTGCATCATCTGGTTTCTACCGCTGGTGTCCCCAGCAGGGGAACTTCCCCTCTTCCTCCCCCATAATCCTGAGACTGCCCTCGTGCTGCAGGGAGACTTTCCCTGTTCACTCCAAAGATTAAATCTCCAGGGCAGGGTTTCCTGGAGTGTGTAAATGAGTCCGTAAATGCTATAGCTTCCTGGTAAATCAGGCTTAATAGAACGAGCTTTCTAATGAAGCAGATTCCACTTCCCTCGTTTATTAGGCTTAATATTTGATTCAGCTCCCTAGTTGGTTATGGTTAATGTCTGAGTTCCTTTATTTCCTTACTTTATTAATATCCAGGTTGAATACTGAATGTCCTGAGAGGTCAGATTGCTGTCAAACATGGCCCAACATGGACATGGACATGGTCATAATAGAATGCAACTTCCAGATTATAAACAATGGAAGATAGAAGGTACAGTACAGGAGAAGATGGCTACACCCAGGCTAAGGGATCTGTGGGGCCACAGTGAAGCTTGGAGATACATGGGTGGCTTTGCAAACAAACAATGTGTCCTATGTTGATGAATTACTAAAAGGATTTAAATGGGGATTTGCTGCATTTGTGGTAGCTGTAGGGGTTGAATATTGCCTGAAGTCCCAGAATAAAGGTAAGAACCATCAGGCCCAGCTAGTTAATACTGATCAGAACCTGCAATGCTCAGGGCCAGCTTATTTTTTCCAAATTTGCCAGTAAATGAGAATCACAATTTTACATCAAACATTCCTCATTATCGAATAAAATATCTCCCTCACAACCATTGTCATAAAAGCCAGATTCCAAAAGCAGGTATATTCCTGAGCCATATGCCTCGATTCTTCAGGCATTTAAGGAACCCTGTCAGCATTTCTAACACTGTTTTGGGATTAGGAAACAGAGTTAGGTTCCAAATGCTATCTAAACAAGAATCCCAACTTCAAAGCATCTTAGCTGTATTCCAGGACTGTGACAGTCTTGAAAATTTGCTTCTCTGACCTCCTACTTAGGGGAGACTAGTTAACTGACAGCTCTTCCAGCTGCACTACAAACCAACTATGAATGGAATGACAAGCAGTTTATTTGATCTATTTCCGGTATCACTTATTTGAGGTGTCTTTCTTAATAGAGACTGGCTTTAGTTTTTAATAAAAAATGAGTGAGCATCTTTCATAAGATGAAGTATTTTATTGAAGCACTTTCAAATTGTGTTCGCCAGTACCCTGTATATTCTGAGCCCGCTGGGGAAGTAGGCTAGAGAAAGGGTTCTGTACATTCTCCTGCTGCTCCTACAGCAACTTTCTCTTACTTCGCCATGTGATACTCTTCCACACAAAAGGAGGTTCAAAAGCCAGTGGCTTGAGTTACAACATCTAATATGGTCTCACCTCCATATAGGTATACGGGGTTGGAGGTCATGATAATTACAATCACAGACAGCTGCCTTCAACAAATCCCTCCAAGGAAACGTAATAGCTTCTCCCGGAGGCACAGGTTTTACTTCACCTGTTTGCAGTTTCTATCATTAAATTCCTTCACCTTTGAGTTTTCCTGCTACCCCCTTTTCATGGCTTAGTCTTGTCTGAGTAGCATAGTACAATTCAGATAGCAATAGCTATCTTTGACCATAAACAATTTCAGGTAGATTTGGTGCTAAGAAATATGACACATGGCTATACCAGTCTCTGGGCAAGTAGCCACTGGTGTTGAGCTGCTCTAGGTGAACACTGGGTTCTAAGCAGTAACCTACAGAAAGCTGAATCCAGACTAGCCTTGGAATTTCAGTTAAGGCCACCCCCTAAGGATTAGTCAGGGTTTTGAGTTAAGAGTTAGTCAAACAAGTTTTAAGAGAACATATAAAAGGTTCAGGCTGTACTGTGCCCAGTAGATAGAAAGAAGGCAGAAAGCACTTCAGACCCAAGTTCAGAGAGGTGTCCACACAGAAGAAATGGCCCAAGGCACAGCCAAATTTCTATGGCCTAGGCGGGGAATCATGTCCTAGCCCATGTCTTGTTCTAAAAGAAAGTTACAATTAAGAAGCTTCTTATTCTACCTCTTCTCCAATTGCGGTTATAAACTTGTCTCCTCCTAACCCTCGTACCATAGTTTAATATATAGAGCTACATGACTCTCCAGAACCCTTATGCAGTTAACACCAACCACATATAGTTTTATAGAACTCACCTGCAGGTGGGAGGCCCTTAATTGATTAGTTGGGTAAAAGTGGATGGCAATTGTTTTGCTCTGCATTTCTAAGGTGGGAAAGGTGAACTTTTCAGTGTCTCCACTGTTAATATTGTACTGGGAAGTTAGTACTGTTCTCTTTGCCCAATAATCCATTGGGGGATTTTGTATTTAAAGTAATTTTGTATATATAAGTTAACTTTTTGGCTTGTTTTTTTACTTTGTTTTCATAGTGGTTGAATAAATTTACAGAAATGGAGAGGGGTTTAGTAGACGAAGCATGCCATACATGCATTTAGTATGTTAGAATTCACACTTAAATTTAACCAGATTCTTGGTTGACAGAATTAAATCACTAGTCCGCTCACTTTTGGAATTCCTGGAAGCAGAGAAACGTTGCTGTCAGTAAAGGGACACAATTACAGGTGAGAACTCTACAGGGTGAGTAGTCAGAAATTGGTTTTCAGTGATATTAGGCAGCTAGGAGAAGCAGCATCAGGCAGCACTGCCCTTGGGCCTCTTCCTGTAGAACCCTACCACACCACCTGTCCTGACACCCCAGTTCTAGTTATCACCATTAACTAGCACTGTTGTTTGGAAAGGCTGGGACTTTCAAGACCCTAGATCTCATATGCCAAGTAATTATTTGTCCAACTATGCTTTCCCACCCAGAACTACACTTCTCTTAAGCAAGGAATCTACGTGAAGGCAAGGTCTCTGCTCTTCCCCTTAAACTCTGCTTCTTTCACACAGACAGTGTAAGCAATGTAACTCTCCACTCATACAGTGGACACAGGTACACATTCTTACTCTTTTACTTCTTCTCCATTTGTCCAGGTTTTTTCTAAAAGCAGGAAGACCTAGGTGTTTGGTATAGTGCGATTTTTAAAATGAAACACCTTTGTTCATATAGTTGACGGAGAAACAGCAATACAATTTGCCGTATAGCAGCCATAAAATCATCCGTCAGGATAATAAACGTATCCATCACCTAGTATGCTCTTGATGAATGTCTCAAAGATGCCACATCATCCCCTTTCCCTATGACATTTTTCTCCAGATAACCTCAAGAAAGCCTCACAATTCTCAGTGCTCTGGGTAACCACCGTCTAACCAGATGAAGTTTCTTCCCTGTCCCGACTGACCATTTACCTAACAGAAGAGTGCTCTCAGGTGAGCAAGTATGAGACTGAACGAAGAGCCTAAGATGATGTAATACATTCCCCCTTCCCCACCTCCACATTCAGGTGGAAGGTAAGCTTCAGCCCACAGGTTTTAGATTATTTTCAGATTAGATGGCTGTTTTCAAAAGGAATAAGGTGAAGATCTTGACTCCCGGGTAAGAGGGTTCAACAGCTGCATGATGACTGAAGTTCACTTTAGTTCTGTTCTTCACTAACAACTCAAAGGACACTTTCTCCTCTCAAACAAGTCTAATTCAAAAATAGTCTTGTTTTTCCCCCATGGTTTTCATCCAAGCTGAATCAACCTTTAGTCTCTAAAGCAAGGAGGAGGGGAGCTAGCTTTTCCTCACTTTCTGCCAAGTCTAAAGAGGAGTTTCTCTCCAATAGATATTTTAGGATACAACTGAAGGCTAGAAGAAGAAGGCATTTAGAAACTTTTCATGAAAAAAAAAAAGCGAGATAAGATTACTGAGTTTCCTTTAAGCATGGAAGTTCCAAACCTATGTATTTCTTCTAAAGGGGATTTATCAAACTGCAGTATGATATCTGGAAGAGTGATTTTGCTGAACTTTTTTGTTGTTGTTGATCCTCATCTGAGGATATTTTTCCATTAATTTTTAGAGAGAGTGGAAGGGAGGGGGAGAGAGAGAGAGACATTGATGTGAGATACATTGATTCGTTGCTTCCCATATGTGCCCTGACCAGAG